TCTGAAAAACCCTAGAAGAAGACTCCTATTTATAGGAAAAAAATCCCAAACCTGCGGGCCCCCGTGTTCCCCGTTCACAGTTTATTTCTTAAAGCATGGGAGAAGAAGTACAATTTATATTTTTGATCGGAAATCTTGTAAGTTAACCATGGCCTTTTAAGTTAAAGTTAATTATGGCTTAGTTCTTTGTTTTTGGTAATGCATAACCAAGCAAGCAAGAGGGAAATCCATTGTGATAATAAGCAGTGAAATCCATCTTTGGTTGGAAAGAAACAAAAGTGATGATCAATGTTCGTTTGTAGCAGGTTCATTTTCTCTGGAGTGAACTAAAGGTGCAGGGTGGTATGATATCCTATATTAATTACCTATATAAAAGATCACTTTTCGTCCATGGTTTTCTCTATTAATGTGATTCCTCTGCATTTGAATAATATACTAAGTAAGCGCATACTTTTTAGATATGCATTATTTAGATCAGATATCTTTTCTAGCTGATATTCTTTTCGCTGAGCTATCCAATAATTCAATGAAGTTTTCTAGATAATTAATTGAAGTTTTTAAAAAAAAAACTCTGACAATAAGTATTTTAGATAATTAATTGAAGTACTTTTTTTCAAAAAGAAAAGAATTGTTTGAACCACTTAGGATATATTGAAGCAACCTCGCTGTTTGAGGACATATCAGATGTCACAAAAAATTAGCCAACATTAGTGGATTGGGGACTGGCGGATGCTTGCTTGCATATGGACAGACTCGAGAGGAGAGCTCCTTTACTATGTTTTCGTTTGGTGATACTGGTAACTGCAAAGATACAAAGGTTCTCCTAATCTTATTGTTCTTATTTGAGCACATATGGTAAGAGCAACCCGAATCAAGAATCTACTTACTAGAGATATCTTCGTCACCCGTAACTGTGTATCATTCTTTCTCACTCTCTTCCTCCGAGACGTAACTTGTCTCTTCCTTGCCTTCTCTCCTCTCGGTTTTGTTGTTCTTCTTCTTCCCACTTACTCTCTTGTTAGGATAGTCAACTTTAAAATGCCCTAGCTCACTGTATTTAAAACACGGTCTTCCCGCAAGAGGTCTCGATTTCGATCTAGACTTTCCTCACTTGCCTTTTTCCTGGCTCATTGCCCCTTCCCCTTGCAAACAATCCTTATGTTTGCTCCTTGTTACCACTAGTGGACATATCACTAGTTATAACTTTTAAAAGATCATTCGTCAGAAGCGTCGTTCTAGTCTCATCTATCTTCAAATTGTCTCCTACAAGCATCAATGTTTGTACCAGGTTCTCATAAGACTTTGGTAAGGAAAGAAGTAGTAGAAATGATTGATCCTCATCTTCTACTGTCACATCAATGTCCTTCAAATCCGATATGATCCTATCGAACTTGTTTATATACTCCCGGATTGATGAGCCTTCCTCCATCTTGCAAGTATATAATTTGAATTTTAAGTAGATCCGATTTGTTAGACTCTTCGTCATGAAGATACTCTCTAACTTTGACCACACGTCCGTAGTTGTTTCCTCTCCATCCACCAAGAAAGCAACATCCCTCTCAAGGCATAGGATAATCGACGCTCGTGCTTCGATATCTAACTCTTCCTAATTCTCATCTGATATATCTTTGTGCTTCTTCTCTTTTCCTACCAAAGCCGTATGCAATTTTTGCGAAATCAACGAGTTTTTCATCTGCATCCTCCAATAGGAAAAATCATTCTTCCCATTGAATTTTTTAATCTCATACTTTCTCACTTTAATTGTTTTACTTGTAGACATCATTCTCTGCTTGTTTTAGTAAACCGCTTTTCTCAGGAATTCCAACAAATACCTTGTGTGCACCACACAATACTCAAAATACCACCTCAAATCGGAAGCTTTACCACCGTCAATCTGATCGAGGAGCTCTGATACCAATTGTTGGGCGCAAAGTCAAGCCCTCACGCCGCGGAAGCGATATAACCTGAGAGAAAACCCTGACTTTTGTTTTCACAAAAACTCATGTTAACCTCTATATTCCCATTTCACTAAGAAAACAAGAACATAAGTAATATATCTCAACAAGGTGAGATATAACTCTTCTCAATATCAGATCTAGGTCTGAATATCGAGAAAACCAACAAGCAATAGCCAACACCTAAAAACAGTAAAGACACGAGATTTACATAGTTCAGCAAACTTGTCTACATCCACGGGAGAGGGTGAAGGGAGATTTCACTATGAAGGAGAACACCAACGACTTGTACAACCCACAAGCTCGTCCCAAAGATAAAACTTTGATTTTTTACCCAAAATAAATTGACCTCTCTTGTAAAATCTCTCCAAGCTCACTCTTTTTCTCTCCCCAAGATCTCACTTTTTTAAATCTGAAAAACTCTCTCTTTTGTAGCCGTCAAAGCCCTCTTTTTCCTCCTCTGAAAAACCCTAGAAGAAGACTCCTATTTATAGGAAAAAAATCCCAAACCAAAATATCCAACAGAAAATCGCAGGCGAAAAATTCCCGCGGCTGGGCTCCGCTCGACTGTCTTGTGCGGGCCCCCGTGTTCCCCGTTCACAGTTTATTTTTAAAGATGGTAGAAAAAGTACAATTTTATTGGTGTCGCGAAATCTTGTAAGTTAACATGGCCTTTTAAGTTAAAGTTAATTATGGGCTTATTCTTCTGTTTTTGGGTAATGCATAATCCAGAAGCAGAGGAATCCATTGTGAGTACTAAGCAGTGTGGAAATCACTTTGTTGGAAAGAACAAATGTGATTCAATGTTCGTTTACAGGTCATCTCTGGGAGAACTAAGGTGCAGGAGCTGTATGTATCCTAATTAATTACCATAAAGACACTTTCGTCATGTTTCTCTATTAATGTGATCTCTGCATTTGAATATATATAAGTGAAGCGCATCTTTTAGATATGCATTATTAACAGATATCTCTAAGCGATATTTCTTTTCGCTGAGCTTCAATAATCTTCAAATGAAGCTTTTCTAGATAATTAATTGAATTTAAAAAAAAATTGCGAATAAGTATTTTAGAAATGAATTAGTACTTTTTTTCAAAGAAAGATTGTTTGAACCACTTAGGATATATATGAAGAACCTGCGCCTGTTGAATATCAGATGTCACGAAAAAATTTACGACTTATGTGGCTGGCGGATTGCTGTGCATATGGACAGATCGGAGGAGAGTCTTTACTATGTTTTTCGTTTTGGTTGTCTGGTAACTGCAGAAAGATCAGTTCTCCTATCTTTTGTTCTAGTTTCAGCAAGGTTGTCAATTACGATCCAGTTCCGTTCCCGAATTTCTTATATATATATAGATATATTATATATATATGAGAAAATGGTATGTCTTGTGTACCAAGCATAAAAACGTTGATGGCTTGGTTGAGTGATAGTGGCATAATCCCCTCCACTCATTCTAAATGTTTGATATCCGTCATCCCACTCCTCAGCATGTGAATGTGTCCCCATTTGAATGATGTGGAGGGATGTGTCACCTATACCAAGACAAAATTTGGTATTGGATACAAGCATATCATATTTCTCTTCTCTCTCTCTCTTCCTCTTCTCTCTCTCTCTCTTATATTTATAATATTTTATATTTATATAATAATATGATATTCTATATATTATATATATATTGAGAGAGAGAGAGAGAGAAGAGCGACGAGATGAAGAGAGAAATGATAAGTTTGCTTTTTACCAAACACAAAAAATTGTGTTTGGTAGTGAGCGTGCCACAATCTCTCTATTCATTAACAAATTACGGGACCACATTCACATGGCGTTGGAGAGTGCATGGGGATATCAACCATGTTGAATTGGGAGGCTATTATGTCACGCTCAACGCCAAAGCCATAATTTTTTGTGGTTGGTAACCAAGATACTCATCTCTCTCTCTCTCTGTCTCTCTCTCCTATCTCGTCATCTCTCTCTCTCCATCATCTCTCTTGCTCTTATATATATATATATATATATAATATATCTTTTGTTCTAGTTTCAGCAAGGTTGTCAATTACGATCCAGTTCCGTTCCCGAATTTCTTATATATATATAGATATATTATATATATATGAGAAAATGGTATGTCTTGTGTACCAAGCATAAAAACGTTGATGGCTTGGTTGAGTGATAGTGGCATAATCCCCTCCACTCATTCTAAATGTTTGATATCCGTCATCCCACTCCTCAGCATGTGAATGTGTCCCCATTTGAATGATGTGGAGGGATGTGTCACCTATACCAAGACAAAATTTGGTATTGGATACAAGCATATCATATTTCTCTTCTCTCTCTCTCTTCCTCTTCTCTCTCTCTCTCTTATATTTATAATATTTTATATTTATATAATAATATGATATTCTATATATTATATATATATTGAGAGAGAGAGAGAGAGAAGAGCGACGAGATGAAGAGAGAAATGATAAGTTTGCTTTTTACCAAACACAAAAAATTGTGTTTGGTAGTGAGCGTGCCACAATCTCTCTATTCATTAACAAATTACGGGACCACATTCACATGGCGTTGGAGAGTGCATGGGGATATCAACCATGTTGAATTGGGAGGCTATTATGTCACGCTCAACGCCAAAGCCATAATTTTTTGTGGTTGGTAACCAAGATACTCATCTCTCTCTCTCTCTGTCTCTCTCTCCTATCTCGTCATCTCTCTCTCTCCATCATCTCTCTTGCTCTTATATATATATATATATATATAATATAATATATATATATATATATATATATGCAAAGATACAAAGGTTCTGCAAATCTTATTGTTCTAGTTTAGAGCAAGGTTGTCAATTACTAACCAGTTCTTCCCGTATTTACCTTATATATGCAAAGATACAAAGGTTCTCCAAATCTTATTGTTCTAGTTTACAGCAAGGTGTTTTTTTTTTTTTTTGGTCAATGAATTAATGCTTTATTCATCTTCCAAGTATGTAAAGTGTTGTACATCAAAAACCAGGATTAATAACCTGGTAAACAAGAGAAAATGTCTAGTTACAACTTCACTATCATTTCCTTTATATGTGCAGGAAAATCATCATTCAAAATTCTAGTGAAGATGGATAATTTGATAGCATGGAAGAGAGTATCAGAAGTCCTTGCAATCCCCTGAAAGATCCTGATATTCCGCTCTTGCCAGATAAAGTAGACAGTCACAGATAGAGCCATTCGCTTCAAATCATTCTTGAATCCTTTTCCTTTCAAGCAGCTAGAATACCATCTGCAGAGCTGATCCCAAGTACAAGTTCTCCATGTATATCCCAACCAATCCATAACATTGTTCCACACTTCAGCCGAATATTGACAATCAAAGAACAGATGATTGCAGTTTTCAGGATGTCTAGAACACAGAACACAGCAATTTGTGCTGAGAATTCTAAATCGACACAACCTTTCTTGTGTGAGAAGCCTAGAATGGAAGGCTAGCCAAAGAATTATTGAATGTTTAGGGTAATTCAGCCTCTCCCAAGTGGTTTCAGTCCAGTTTGTTGTAGTAGAGGAATTGGTTAAGATGTTATATACCAAAGATAGCCGAAGTTTGCCATTGCTACTGCAGCTGTTAAGAATGTTCAGAACATCATCTGCATTGCCATATTTTTCTATGATCATGTTTCTAGTTTTGAGGAGTTGCTTCCACATCCAAGAGTCATTATCCCTCTGCTGAACTTGCCAAACATTTAAATTTTTTAGATAATGACCATGGATCCATTTTATCCAGAGAATGTCTTTCTTTTGATGAATCATCCATAGTAGCTTCACAGCAGATGCCTGGTTCCATACTTTGGCTGAAAACAGTCCCAAGCCCCCATGTTCCTTGCTCAGACATACTGAATCCTAGGATATTAGATGAATTTTCTGTCCCCATAGAAATGTTGAGCAGAGCCTGTCAATTTTTTAATAAAATCATAAACTTTTTTGATGAACAGCAAGTTGATTTTGTTAAGGAAAATGTTCGTAGAGTATTTAAATACTGAGCCATCAAATGCGAGCAACAAAGAGGGCGGTTAGTTCATGGCCCTAAATTGTGTTAGTATTCGATATAACGAAAATGTCTAATTTATCATTTTATGTTGCAGCTATGACTATGGTGTGTTCATCTACCTCTATATCAGAGCAATAATTGGAGGTCGCTCGACATTGTTGGTTAATCCACCTGGCGATATCCCTGAAGCTATGCGAGCAAGACTTGCCGCTCACTTATTGATAGCTGGTTGTGAGCAGCGACATAAAGACGGCTCAGCGTATAGTGATGAATGACATGTTTATACAAATACAATAATGTAATATTATTTAATTGAAAATGCATATTTTCAGATGTATTGTTAGCTCTAACTTCGTGTCGGTTCTAAAAGAGTACTTGGTTCATCTAATTGCAATTGTGTTCGGGTTAGCTCTTTTCTTGTTAGCTCTAGTGGAGCGTTAGATGAACTAGAACTAACAGGATGATAGCTAGAACTAACAATAAGTGATACAGGGCTAACATGGCCACCACAACAAACACTTGGCGTCGAACTAACGCCAGCACGAAATAGAACTAACCCGAGAAGGGCTAGAACTAACAGGAGGACGGCTAGAACTAACAAGAAGTGAGCTAGAACTGACTAGGAGTGAGCTAGGGATAACATAGCAGCCAGAACTGACACTTGTGATGGAACTAACGCCAGCACGACTTAGAACTAACTTATATACAGTCAGTTACGAACCGTATCGTGTTAGTTCTACCTCCAGCCCGCGTTATTTCCGTCACAAGTGTCAGTTCTAGATTATATACAGTCAGTTCTAGCCCATCTCGTGTTAGATCTAGTTGTTTTCGTGATAGTTCTAATTGAAACTCCTGCAAAAAAGCTGTTCTACTTGAAATTCGAGGAACAGAACGAAGTAAAATTTTCTGAGTTCATAAGAAACATATTATTCAATCAGTATTTGCTCAAGTTGAAAGTAAAAAAGGAAATATTCAACATGAAAATACTTACAACGTTAGTTCTAATTGTCATAATGTTAGTAGGCATTTATATGCAGGCAGTCCTAGATTTAAAGTGTTAGTTCTAACCGCAGCCCGCGTTATTTCTATCGCCCATGCTGGTTATAGATGCTACGTTAGTTCTAATTGATTCAATGTTAGTTCTAGTTTACTTACAGTCAGTTCTAATTTCGCTAGCGCTCTATTTGAGTAAGTGTTAGTTCTAGATGTTACATCATTTATATGTTCGTTGATTTCCAAGACATGTCTATCACCCTAACAGTTCATATCATATATCCGCGTCTTTCCAGTTCAGGAAGGGTGTTAAAATAGTATTTCCCTCGATATTCAAGCTTTGTCCTTTTCCACCAGCACAGGCGCCTCTCTAAATCCCTCATCCCCAAACGAATACCTAAGTCCAGCGTCTTCAATCTCTGTCATAAACCATCACAGATGGCTATGGATGGCACCTGTACACACTGCCATGGGTCAGGGCATACCTCTCGAGATTGTCATCACGGTATTACTTCTCGTGCCCCTCCAAGGATGCTTACCGTCCCTGCCAACACCGCCAGCACCATCCTACATCTCTCCGCTTTCGCAATCTTCAATCTTAGGTCAGGCCATCCATCCGTCCAGGAGCTCAGAGAGATGCTGGCTTTTCGCTTCAATCGTAGTTCATGGCCCTATCAAATCAAAGAAGCGCCAGGAAAGAGCTTCATGGTGCAGTTTCCATCCGTCGCCCTTCTTACCCAAGCCACAGAGCTCGGCCTGGTAGATGGGGGCACCTTTACGGGCAGATTCCGCCGATGGAAGGAGGATCTCAGGCTTTCAACGGTTCCCCAACCTTTTCCAGTATGGATCCGCCTATTCCACCTCCTATACCATCTCTGAGATTTTGACTTTCTACAATCTCTGCTCGATGGTATCGGTGAATGCATCATGAGCTCTTGTGGTGACATAACACATGATAACTTCAAAGAATTGAAAGTGCTTCTGAAGATTAGGGATTTATCTGATGTCCCAAAGAGGATTGGTTTTCGTTACATCTCCCCAGTTGACGGGATCCTAAGGGAAGGCCACGCCGTCACGCAGGTACTCAGCAGGGGGGATTTGGAGAGGACTGAGGGATCCACTCGCATAAGCTTAGAGGACCCGCGTGTGCAGCCTTTTAATACTGACCCAGAGTTACAGGAGGTTAGTTGGGACGACAGGCACATGACTGTTGAGAGAGACCAATGGTTGTTGTTCCTCCAGAACCAAGGGGTCGGGGGATACATTGCCGAGGGATCTCCCCACCGCCAATGCTCATCATCCAGATAACCCCACCGGCTCGCACAGTGGATCAACGAAACCCACCTAACCCTATGGTGTTAGTTCTATACTGTGTAATTGTTAGTTCTAGTTGTGTAATTGTTAGTTCTAACGGCTCCCGTATTAGTTCTAGCTATTCTCGTGTTAGTTCTACCTCTAGCTAGCGTTTATTTAGTATAAATGTTGGTTCCAATGCCTATGTTAGTTATAGCGGCTCCCGTGTTAGTTCTATATGTTCTCTTGTTAGTTCTACCTCCAGCTAACGCAAGTTCTACTGCAAATGTGGGTTCTTTTGCCTATGTTACTTATAGCTGAGATATTGTTTGTTCTACCTGGTAGATGGGGTCAACCATCAAAATATTATCTCCGGAAGGATTGTTAATTGGGATCCTATCTGAAACACATGTGGCCGTCGATAACGGCGGCCGTTGATAACGGCGGGCCACAATCTATATTATCATTGGGAAGCGCTGCAAATAAATAACATAAACAAAACAAATAATCATGAACTAAATCAATAGAAACATTAACAAATAACACAAATAAGAAAAAATCACTAACGACTGTTTGTGTTAGAACTAGCATGAAATTCATCTGAACTAACAAGAAATCAATTAGAACTAACATGAAATCGATTAGAAATAACAGATTTTACCTAAAATGGAATTTGTCCTAGAACTAGCAGTCAATCGATTTCATGTTAGGGCCTGTTCGGTTGTTTCCCGAAAAAAAAAAAGAAACCAGCAATGTACCACGAAAACAAATTCCCAGCATTTCAATGTGTTTTCTCAGATTTGAAGTATTATGTTTGTTTCAACATGGAAATCAAGGGATTGAAATCAAATTTCACATTTATTGTGTTCGTTTCAACTCTTTGCAATAAAGAAATGTATTGTCCTTTGTCACATTTCTTGCATTTCACCTGTTCGTATTGCACAACCTCAAATATAGGCTTGCATTTCACCTGTTCGTATTGCACAACCTCAAATATAGGAAACCAGCTTAGCAAGTTCAAGCGGTGTGCTTGCCTCCCTAAAAAACCAACTGAAACCAGCAACGGTAAAAATTGTGCAACGGTCAAAAAACCACAACTCAAAATAGTGCACGTCAGGTTCTTTGCTAACAGCAAGATTTTTCCAACGGAAACAATTTACCCCACCCCTGCACTTATATAGTTGGGATCAACTCCATCCTCCTCAACATATTCTCTCATAAAATTACAAGAAAGCTGGGCAAAAATACTTGAGCATAGAGGCAATTAAAGCTGCGACATGGAAACAAGCCAAGACTCTCATGAATTAGCTGCAGAGGTAACGTGCTACTGTAACATACCGACACCACTAAAGCTTTGCAGATCAGGAGTAAACAAGGGCAAATACTTTTGGGGCTGCGCCAACTATCCAAATAGGCAATGCCAGTATTTCAGGTGGGCAGAAGAGCATCATGATAACAACCAGCGTAAGGTAAATTTTGAATGTCCCTCTCCTCAATCAGTTTCCCAAGTTAAAGATGTGGAAACCAAGCACTTGCGAAGAGAATTAAAGCTTGCAAACCAACAAGTTGTTTACTTGAAGAAATGTATTGTTGTTTTAGGAATATTTAGTATTTCCCTTGTTGTCATAAACATTGTAATCTGCTGTTTGAAAATGTAATGCAAAAGTTTGAGAAGAATGCAGGGACTCTTGTGTAAAGTCTGAGTTCAAATACAAATCTGAACAGATTGAGATGAAAATGATGCAGCAAATCCCCCATGCATATAGGTAACAAAAACTTCTGTGATTAAACCAGCAACACAAACTGCACATTGCATATGCCAGAAACTCCCAAAGTGAGAACAAGAGGAATCACAAGCAATAGGTATCTGAAATCAAACATGATAGCAATGAAAGCATGACAAGCAAAGATATATATTTCAAAGTGTTAATAATCCTATTCAACATCTTTATATTAAAAGCTTAAGAGTATTATATTCCAATGGTGAGAATGATAAATAAAGTTTGACAAATCGAGTTAGTTCTAGTTGTCCTACTGTTAGTTCTAGAACATATCGAGTTAGTTCTACTTCAAGCTGGCGTTATTTCTAGCACAAGTGTTTGTTCTGTGGCCCATGTTAAATAGTATTGACTACAAATAGGTTAGAACTAACAAGATTGACAAATTGTGCTCAGATATATGTCTACATTATCATATATCCCACACCAGTAAACAATTACACCACAATGTTGGCTGCATTCCTATACATGTTACTCCTCATCTGATTACGTAAATGTTTGGATTGCCTCGCCAAAACATTGCATGTACTATCTACTGGTGAAGAATATCAGGTAAAAGACAG